CYKRAKTYSYYATCTTCTATTGTTACAAGATTTATATTAATATAATATTACATCATCTAATGATCTAAACTGTTCTRGAATTTCTGTCTCAGATCTGTCAGTACCAAAATAGCTTGTCGAATTTTTTAGATCTTTTTGAAGTTTGCATAACAGGTTAAAATCGTCAGGGAAGTAAAACAAATAATTTTCAATGCCCTCGTTGACTTATCTCGACAATTAATATTTTAACTGAGACGAAATGTCCTTATTTTTGAGCTGTTTTTCGATTGAGCGAGTAAGTCTAAGGCAAATAATATAGCTTATGAAAGAGACATACTGGTACCTGCTGTGAACGTTTAAGAATCATCATGCGTCGCTTTGTTAAATCGATCATTTTAGCGATATATCTCAACTTAAGTTAAAATAACAGTAACGACAACCTAACWATACAACYCATTTTCCATKTTTATAGAAGTTWAGTACATTTGGAAAAATATTGGGTTSTGTCRCAGATTTAAGTTCTCGAGTGTTCAACCGTTTAAGAAAACAAAATGGCGGAGCAAAGACCAAATAATGTTTTGAAATATCTCCCTATTGGAAAGATACCTAACATGGTATTATAAAGACATATACTGCAAAAATATAATAAATCCGTTGTATAACGTAAATAAAAACTTTTAGCAAAAAAATAGACTTTAAATTCAAAGAAATGTTGTTATTCATTGATAATGGCGTGTCAAAGATGGAAGGAAAAATGTCATCCGAAAATTAAAAGTGCTTCTCAATTTAAATACAACTTCACCATATCAAGCTTATTTGTACTTAAATACACGTTTATCACTTTTTTTATTGTTTTAAATGTTATGCAATCTTACCTTCTCAGCCACTTCATCATTTTGCTCGGGCTTCTTGTCATCGCCTCCAATACCAAGGTTGGGCAARAGCTTATAAAAAGGGTTAGTGAACCTCATTCTTATGAAGTTAAGAGCTGGAAGCTTGATACTTGCACCATTATTGGTGCTCTGTGATGTGTTGTTACGGTTCATTGTAGTGATMGTCTTGATTATCTTCCTGTATACATTTGGATTTGATTTATTGGCKGATTTGGTCTCTGTYACTACTGTGTATGTCTTATAAGGACCGTTTTCAGACTTTGAAGTCTTCGTTACGGTCTTTAGATTCTCGTTATTTGGTTGTRCGGCAGGRCCGTCGTTGAATAGCATTGAAGAAGGTCGCACGAGYTCCTGAGCGCCAAAAATTGGCATTCGAATGGCAAAKACAGGCAACCGAAATGGCCCTGCGACTTGCTGCTTTTTGGTCGAAGTTACATGTTTRGTCTTTTTCTTCTTGTGGGCTTCAACGTTKAAGAAAACTAACGTGATTACGAGAAAAATCGTGAACTTCATGTTGTTACCGCGTGAAACTATAMGTCAAAACGCGTGAAACTGAGCAAGTAATGAGATATAAATGAATCKCRGTCCTGTAAAACCACTTAAATAGCGAAAAGCAACAGGTGTGTCATCTATTATTTACAAGCAACACAACCAATCAAATGATCGACCGAATCAAACTATTTATAAAGTGACATGGTTGTTGTTTGTACAGATAGACCGTTCTTTAAGCGGTTCTTGTTATGTGTGGCAGTGATTATGCTTAGGGGCTACATTGAAAAATAGGCAGTCGAGGACTGCATGTGACTAAGGCCAAAAAAATTATCTTTTCTTCTCTCTCTCTCTCTTTATATTATACTTTTTCTTTGCGGTTGTTACTTTGTTTGCTTTTCTCTAGAGATTTTCTCTTTTCAACWTAAACATATCAAGGACTCGCAAGTAACGCATGGTTCGGTTTTTAAACACGATGACAGCGTGACAAGAGGCCCCATAAGGCCTTTCGCCACAAAAATTGGATGTTTGAAAAAAATCGTCATTTTCTGTAAAAACTACAGCATTTTGGAAGGAATTTAATGACGCGCGCGTAAATTCCACATGAGCTTACATTTCTCTTGTAGTGATCCCAATGTTTGTCCGACTGCAGGCGGGGGGTCTAACATTTGTGACGTCATGTCCGCGCAGTTTTTCTCAATACTATTAGGTTGAATACTATGTTTTCTATTGTTTCTATTGTGATCAATGTGCGTAAAAAACGAAATCACTGCTCTAGAGCGTATTACTTACAGTAGACTTAAGTTTGTCTGACGTCCATCTTTGCATCAAATCGCCAATATTTATGAGTACCGTCCCTGGGATGGGCGTGGCTGGTACATATTTGCCTTCTACTGTACCCACCTATTACAAACAAATCATAATTTAACACATTGGACATTTCTGGAAAAGTGTATGCAATAATTTCCTGGAAATAAATGTCTGGAAAAATGTTTACAATAATCTTTCAATTCTTGGAAAATGCATGCAATAAACTTACTTCAAGGCCCCTTGCTTCATCCTGTATTAAGAGCGAAATACCACCATAATCAGTGTGCTCTCCACAGCGAATTTGTCCAGGTTTGATAACAAGATTGTCAGTTATCTTTGGGTAGTAGTTGATACGAAACTGAGAAGTATTACCTTTTGTCCCAACAAATTTATAAAATGGAGCAAAGAAATCAGGGTCCTTGAAAAAAAAAGAAAATATTAATCAGAACTTGATCCAGGCTTGAAAGGTGATAAAAAGTTCAAATAAGATTCCTGTCATGGATTCTTTTCTAAGGGTGTAGTAACACAGGATGTTTTTGGATTTAGAAACTATTTCTTGCTCTAAATATCTCAGGAAAGTCTATTAAAGCCAATCTCTGTTGCATATGTACCTTTTCCAGTCCAATGCCAATGGCTGACAGGACTCGCATTCCAAGATGACAAAATTTCAATCTGAAACTTGACAAAGTTCTTTTGAAATTTGGCACCACTTCATCATCTGGCCAAATCTGAAATTTACATGAAATTACCTGAATACTAATATTTGGCTCCTTTTCTGGGATTTGTGTTTTGATGGCTGTGGGGGTTAAATGACATAGAGAGGTCACATATTTCTGTGTCTTCCTCCTCTCCCCCACCTTCAACTCCCACACAATTTTCTTTGGTTTTCTCCTTTTTTCCCCTTTTTTCCTCCTTTTTTCCCTTTTTTTTCTACCTGTGACATGATAAAACCATGCTGAGACTGGATGATATAGAAGGCGAAACAAAAAGCCATCAACATTGTCTAAATCTTTAGTCGGTCACCAACATCATCAGGATAAAAATAAATTTACAAATACAGAGCAAGATATAGAGTTTAGACAATAGGTGTGAACACATTATGTGACTATACACAGGGACTAAACTAACTAGAACAAATGAGTTTGTTAAGTTCACTGCTGAAAATATATTACCGCTTCTTCGCTATCTGGTGCTCCAACATCAAAGGATTCCTTTAGATCTGCTGGCCTGTCTAGATTTGGTCTGCAAATAAATAGAAATTTTTTTATTATATAAATCATTATGAAATACCAGTATATCTTTCACGCAAAAAAAGTGATATCTTTCACATGTGACGATAACATGTTACCATTAAATAAAGGTATATTTCAACTTTTGCTGCGTTTTGTGTTTACAATAATTTATATAATAAACAGAATATTACAGCCTTTTGCACAAATTATGAGACATTTTTATATATATAAATATACCTAACCAAATATCAAAAACACCCAAGAAATTATGGTATATCTCTATTATATTTTGTCATGATTGCCTAGCATCAGGTTGTTACAGACAAAATATCAGCGACGGTATCCCATAATTTCTTGGGTGTTTTTGATATTTGGTTAGGTATATTTATATATATAAAAATGTCTCATAATTTGTGCAAAAGGCTGTACATGGGAGCTTGGAGATACAAATTTTATTTTCGCTACGCTCACATGTTTGATATCAATTGAACACTTGAAGATAAAATTCATATCTCTGCGCACCCATGTAATATCCTTTGGCACCTGAAGTGTAGGTATCATTCATTTTCAACCATGTAAAATTAGCAGTGCAGTTAGCTGCATACCCCCATCATGCATTATCAATATATGACACATAAGATAGAAGATGCAGCAATGTACAGTATTTTGAAGTACCTTTCTCTTTCCATTTGATCCCATCCATATTGAGAATCGCCTTGCTTTTTCTGGTATCTTATTTTTACGTTTTTACTCAAACTAAAAAAAGTCATCACTCTTGGAAAGCACATCTTCAATCTGTAGATAGAAGAAAAAAATTATAAGCTGCTCTAGTCTCAGTCTCTCCATAGATGAGGTGACGGTTTTGTCCGCCATTTTGGACCGGTAGGCATAGTGTCGCAAAATAACAAGGAATGACCGGGAAATCGATGTCAAATAATTCTCGCTGAATTCAAATTCAGAAAGAATTATCANAAGGGGTCAACCTCTGTCTGTGCATAATAATGACCTGAGCCTTAATGAATCAAAACCTTAGAGCTGCAGCAATCAAAAAGCAGTACTCCTAGGTGTTTTCAGCAAGAAGAGTTCGCATGCATAACTGTCCATTGTATTTGTCATAATAATTCACAAACCCTATAGAAATACATTTACACATGAATCTAAAATCGTTATGAAGACTGATTAGAAATGCTCAGATTGTCAAATAAATCTTAGAGATTGTCAGGGCATTTGGACTTGCCAAAACTCCGCTTTTCTCTTACACAAAAACTACTGTGATCAACTTCGAAAGGCCCGTCGAAAACGTCATCGAAATCATCCGTATTAGTGGGTAAGAACTCTGATGGTACAAATATCGATATCTTGACATAATTACCCTCACTGGCAACGGGCTTCTTTAAACCCTTTGCTTTAAGTTTGCCATCCCATCGACGGAGATCAGGTTTTTTTCCTGCATATAAAATCACATTCACCTCCTGCTTGTAAGATACAATTTCCCCTTGACGGAGCACTTGAACGCCAAGCTTACCCAGCGTCGTCTTGAAGGCTCTGCTGCCATAGACGCTTGGTCCATCGTCAATTCCAAACCAAGTTCCTGCGATAATGTTCTTGTTGCCGCTTGGTTTAAGACATTTTTCTTCAAATATTTTTTCTGCCTCGGCTTTGTGAGTTACGTGATATATTGGTGTGTCTTTATCAATGATATCAATGTCCTCAGTGACATGATTTCTCAAGACTTCCTTGTTCCCATAGTTGTCGGTGAAAAGCGGCACACCAAATGTTTTGAAGATGGTCAGGCTTTTAAGAATCGGAATAACCCTCTCTCGCATGAATGTCTCTTCCTTCTTATACTGATATTGAAATGGTGACTCGCATCGCCATTTTCTCAGCTGTCTGACAGCAGTTTTGTAAGTTAAAGGAACGGAGAACCATTCATGATAAAGCTCATCAGATTCGTCTACAATGTCGCAAAAACCTTGTAGGGCAAGAACAAAAACTGATGGGTCTACTTTTGAACACGCTGATAGTAACTTCTCAATTTTCAAATTTTCATTAAGAATCGTTTCGTTTTCTGCAGCATCTTCATCTGAAATACAGATCTGGTTAGAACCAACTTTCTTTTCAATGCAGATAAGACCATGCCGAGCAAGAGCAAAGATAGATTGATCATCTAAACCAGTACAGACTTCTTTTAACTTATTCTGTTCCTTAGCAAAGCAGTCCCAACTTAGAAAGAACTTAGAAAGCTCAATGTCACTGATGTCATCCTGTTCCGCGACCGCCATTTCGTCTTCCAATAGTTTATGATTAATTGAAAGTATATTGATAGTCGAGACAAAGGCGGAAGCTCACTCCTGGTGCGCAAAGGATCATGGTGAAAATTGGCCCTATCAAATGGTATCATCAGAGAGACGTCAAACATATTGTGGCATAAAGGTCAAAGTTTTATTTTCGGTAAGTTACGAAAGCTTAATCAAATCATTTTAAATATGGATCTTGAATATTTCGTATATTTACATTAATTAAAGGATAAAAGTTAGAAATTTAAGTCGTCATGCTTGCGAAAGATGCTAACTTTTCCCAACAAACCGTCTCGCAGATTAACAACTGAAAATCACATTTATTGCATGCTTTTCATTTATTTATCCCAGCTTAATTTCGTTTTAATAAATGTATATTGTAGCGGAATATATTTTCAATGACACAGAAAAAAGTACGAATGTACAATGCTCGTGAACTAAGAAAAAGTCTGATGCCGTTATGAGAGGTGCAAGTATCTACACGAGTTTCAACAGATACTATCCGTTGGTCACCATGAAAATGAGGTCACATAGCACTCTAAGCGGCCCGCGTGGTACTGGCAGCGACAGTGATTGTAACAACGTGACGGCAATGACAACAACGATGAACAAGCTGACAACATAAATGATGGTGATGAATATTCAGCAATCATGTTTTAACTACATTTCTCTGTACCTGTCAGGACTTAGAATTCGTAAGTTTTTTTCAGTAATTCCATCACATAGACGTCCGATATAACAGGCGGGTATTTGTTGGAGCCATCCAAGCATGTTATCAGTGTTTCTCTGTCAGGATCAAAGAACAATACTATCGAACGACGTGGCTTTCCTCTCTTGATTTCATCCTCAGGAATGAGAACACGGTGTGGCTNAGCAGAGATCCCGTGGTTTTTGAGGTACACAAAACCCACTGTACTAAACGCAGAATAAATCTCTTTGGCCAACTGCTGTACTTCAGCGCTATTGACGTCCGGTCTTGGTTCTTTGTCGATGCTAAATGCACTAAAATCTACGATGGGTATGTGATCCGTCATTTCTTCTCGATGTTGATAGGGTGTTACGAAAGGTAGCCAAAGGTTGCCCAAGTAGGAATACAATGGTTTGAATTACGTTCTGACCCATATACTGTTAATTACTGCGGAATTCTCTTTCAAAGCAATGAGTATGAACAAGGGGCCGTTATGCATGAGCATGCGCGCAACCGCTGCGTTATAACGACCATGGGCTCTAGAATACGGGTAGAATAACATTGTAGTCAGCTGCGGAAGCTTGGATTCTGAACATAATTGAAGTTTTTACTTATCTTCCACATTTTTCCAAACAAAACCAAGTAGATATATTTACAATGCACACGAATATCTTTCAAACATTATATAAATTACTGTGAGTCACGGGCTAGATTTATAACACGAAGCCACTTTGTACCGTTAAAATGTAGTGAATTATTTGTGCACACTTTTAGCAATAATAAATTCCTAAGATGTGAATCGATTGCACTGCAATAGTTTATTTCATAACTTATAATGATACAGCTATAGAACTACACATAGATATTTATGATAACTTGATTCAAACAAGCTCAACTCTTCAGCCAAAAGAGCGCTAAATCTGTCGTGAGTGCTCAACAGCACGTAAGAATTTGCAGAATTAACACCGTTCCACATTTTTCATAGACAAGAAAACATTATCAAACCATTTGCAAAGCATAAGTCTTGATATTGGTAGCCTTATTCTAATGAGTCCTGGTGGTATATAAAAGGAAAGTAGTATTTCATGTAACAGTTAATAATATTTAAGCGTAAATATTGTACACTTCAAGAAACTGTCTTTCGAACATTTCGAGGTCGATGTTACTAAACGATGCCTAATTATATTACTACATGTGTACATTTACCATTTACTTCATAACCTGCGTTGAATCTTGACCATCACTCAGCAAAAACTGGAATAGTAGTTGCGTATATAAACCACTGAAGCCTCCATATTGTAAACACAAAGTCATTAATATCAACATTTCTTAAATAAGATTTTAAACGGTCCCAATCAGTCCAATGACGCCAGTGTTTTTCCTCGTTGTAGGTTACACTATTTATGGGTGTTCTTGAGTCATGACAGAACATTTCAGGGTCAAAAACAGCCAAAAACATTTTTGGAAATTGTCCTTCGTGTCGTTGTAATTTCTCGCTTGAAGTGAATCACTAATGAATTTCAATGAATTTTCAACAAACTGGCGCATGCGCACGCCAAACGGCCCCTTGTTG